ATACTTATTTTTTAGTTCTCGGTGGACACAACATCATTGTTGGTATGTGGTGCTGAGGATCGAACACAGGCCGCACACATGGCAAGCGAGTGTGCTACAGCTTGAGCCACATCCCCAGCCCCGTGTTTTTACCTTTGATTTTGAGACAGGTCTCACTAAGTTGCTAAGGCTGGCTTCCAAGGAGCAATACTTTGGTCCCAGCTTCTCCTGCAGCTGGGATTATAGGCGTGGCCACCACACCTGGCAGAACAACAAAATGTCACCCATGGCCTCGGGAAGGGGAGATGAAGGGAGAAGGTCAAGCACTACGCCTGGGCAGGCCGCCAGCCTGGAGGAGTGCCTGTGCCAGGGTGGGGCACTACAGAGGTGCAAAGAAACACAGCCCTGGGACCCTCCAGAGCACAGGCTGCAGCTGTGTTCAGCCGTGAAGTGTCGCGCTATCCTTCCAATCCTCCAGTAACGCCTGCCTTGTGAAACCACTGCTCTCTCCTCCAATTCTAAAAGGCAAACTAACCAGACTTCAAGAAAACACAGAGAACATTAACCCGACTAAAGCCAAGTGTCAACAATACACTGACATGTGATTCTTACTGCAAATGGTAACCTTACGTGACCTTTCTAGAAATCTCTTACTTTAAAATACTTAGTCACTCTAAAACACTACTTGTACGCTGCAGATCACAAATTCAGCAAATTACAGAACCCAACAAGGAACCAGGGAGTGGGAGGGGAAGCCAGGCGGGTGGTGCTGCCCGGTTACTCTCACCAGCCACACCTCAGTCCCTCCCTGATTGTTCCACAGACTCTAATGGGGGCACACCCAGCCTGGGCCCTGGGTCCTTATCTACAGGTTCTCCAGAAATGACCTCAGTCCCACACAGCTAGAAAAAGAAAACTGGTCATGTGCCACAGGATCTAATGACAGCTACTCAGCAACCCCACCCAGGGGGGTCAGAGCAAGCCTCAGAGCACCCTACCCACCAGCGCTCGGCACTCACTGCCTCTGCTCATTCGCAGACCTGGGTCAGATCTGCCGCTCCCAAGCCTGGGGCCCAGCCTCGCTGCCTTTGCAGAGGCCCCCCCGCAGCCCAGAGCCCTGCCTCGTCCCTCACCCTCCTCCAGCTACAGCCCTACTCCGGCATCAGCTCAATGGGATGCTCCAACAGCTCCCAGCACTCCAAGATCCTTGCCGAGTGAGTGGGAAGGGTGTGGAAATGAGGCGCGCACACCAGGAAGCAGGAGGGACCTGAGGAACCGCCAGGGGAGAGGGTGCGTGGGGCCCTGGAGGAATGGAGAGAGAGAAAGGCCAGGGGGGATGCGGGAGGGGCTGGAGGGAGGTCAGCTCAGCCCAGGAGCTCCTCAGGCGCCTCGGCCTCGGCCACGGCCCTCCATAGTGAATAAGCCCGCAGATACTCTAGATCCAGAAAGAAAAAGAATCCTGAACTCCCAAATCCAGAGTACGATGGGATTCTGGCGAGCTAAAGACATACTTGGCTCTCAGTGTCAAGTCACTGGAGGGACAGGCATTCATCGCACACCTACCATGTCCAGGAGCTTTACATACAACACAGGCCACCTGAGGGACAGGCGCTACCAGCTCAGGATGAGGAAGGAGACGGTCATGGAGATGGGTCAGTGGCTGGCTCAAGCCTGCAGCCAGTGCACGTGGACTCCGCCACACTCACTGCGAAGCACTGTCCTTAGAAGGGCACTCCCTCCCACCAAACTGGAACAGGGAACCGCGGAACTCTGAGAAGTCAAAGCTTTCTGTGAGGCTGCAGAAGTTGTCTGGAGAGCGCCTGCACTCACTGACCGAGCGTCCTCCTCACCGTCCCCAGGGAGCCCGCCAGCCTGGCACAGAGACGGCCTTTGAGCTAGCAGCATTCCTGGTGCAGCCAGGGCTTAAGCAGCAGCTCTTCAGCTCCACGCCAAGCTCCTCCCACTTCACTCCTGGTGCCAGAGGACACTTCTTGCTTATGGCTCTGGTCCTTTCCTTATCACCCTCTGCACATTTAAGCAGCCCCCAGCCTTGGCTTGCACACCTGCCAAACTCGTAACCTCAGGTCACTAGGTTCCAACAACCCAGGACAAGGCTGTGGAGGAGTCACAGTTAAAAACTGCAGCACAGGTCCCCAAATCAACCAGGTCCCAAACCTTCCGCACTGCTCCACTCTATCTGGACCTCCAGACCTGTTCAGGGTCACTCCCCCGTCCCCACATGATGCTCATTTGGGTTCCCTTTACCAAAATGTCACACTTCTGTGCTTTTGCTCCTGCAGGCTGTCCCATCAGAAGCCACATTCATTCTGTCTTTCCAGACAATTTTCAAGTGCCTACTACCTACAAGACATCGTAGGATTATGTGTTTTCAAAACCATCAGGTGCTGACCAATATAAGGCACTGCCTTGGCCCCATGAGGAGTCTAAATTTCATTAGAGAAGTAATAGGATTCTAATGACCATTTTTCAAGAATAGATTTGGCAGCCTGCAGGGCCAAGATACAAGACAAGAACAGGTTTGTGGATGGCAGTAAGAAGCCAATGCAGAAATGACCAGAGGCAAGTGGTGGAAAATGAGAACCCTCAGTCCCCACAGGAGGCAGCCCCAAGCACAGGTCACCACTAGCCTGAGGAGGGACTCTCTTCCTAGCTGCAAGGGGAAGAGTCTGATGAACGTCAGAAATATTCTAAGTTTCTTTCCTTTTTTAAAGGTTGGCTAGGCTAGTCTCAAGCAATCCTCCTGCCTCAACCTCCCAAGGGTTGGGTGCACACTACTATACCTGGCTTTTTGGAGAATGAGTTCAGAGAGCTCTCTCGGGGTCTGTCTTCTCCTCAATCTAGAAGTCATCAATCAATGGCAAAGCAAAGTAGGACGGGTCCAGGAAAGAAGGGATGCTGTGTATTAAGAATTTAACCTTACCAAGAGAGACTAGCCTTTTTCCTGGGCTAACAGTGAGACTCAGGTTGGACTCCGGCCATACCAACACAGCACCAGTTTACTGGAAACAAGATCAACCAAGGGGGGAGGGGGGATAGTAGGGGATAGGAAAGGTAGCAGAATACAACAATTACTAATAGGGCATTATGTAAAATTGTGGATGTGTAACCAACGTGATTCTGCAATCTGCATTTGGGGTAAAATTGGGAGTTCATAATCCACTTCAATCTAGTGTATGAAATATGATATGTCAAGAGCTTTGTAATGTTGTGAACAACCAATAAAAAAAATTAAAAATTAAAAAAAAAAAAAAAAAAAAAGATCAACCAAGAGGGCAGTCAATCATGCCTCCCAACTGGAGGAGGCTCTGGTGCAACTCCATGCACTGTCACTCATCAATGCCAAGAGTGTTCTGCCTCACAGGGAGGGGATAACAGGAGCATTAGCATTTGGTACTTCCCAGAGCTCCATCCTATGTGCTCTTCCTGGGTTGGTTTTAATCAGTAGCCTTTTTCTGTAACAAACCATGACCACAAGGACTGATACTTTCAGTGAGCTTTGTGAAGCCTTCCAGTGAAGTACTGACCCTGAGGTTAGTTTTAGGTCCCCTCACTTCAACTTGCAGTTGGTGCCAGAGGATAGTCTGCTATGAAGTGGGACTGTTCCCTCGGAACTCTGTAGCTCTATAATGCTCACGATTGACCTCAGCCTGTCTCAGATGCTGCAAATGAGGTGGTACAAGACAAGGTATGGACACCCACCCTGGCCTGGAGATCAGCTTCAGAAATAAGCATTTCCAGTGAGAAGAGGTGGCTTGATTTTGTACTTTGTGGTCTACTCCAGTGTTTGGATCTCTTTTCCACAAAACAGACATGTATTACTTCTATTATTAAAGGACTATTTTTAACAAACACATCCCCAAAGACTGCTTTAGGAAAACTATCTTATGTAGTCATTCTGCATGGACTGCTGATTGGGGAGTTCAGAGTCACCAAGAAAACTGCTTTCAATTTCAAATTATTTCTAGTCCTATTCCTGAGCATGCTATGTATGTCACAAGAATCAATGCCAGCAAATAACAGATTCAAAAAAAATGTAAAATCATGTCCATATTGCCCAAGTCAAGATCATGTAAAGTTCATTTAGTACTTTATCTCTTACTTGGAGCCACTCACTAATACTTCCCCCCCCCCTTTTTGAGGCATTGGAGATTGAAACCCAGCGGCGCTCAATCACTGAGCTAAACCCCCAGCCCATTTTATTTTGGCACAGGGTCTTGCTAAATTGCTTGGGGTGGCCTTGAACTTGCGTGCTGATAGCTGGGATTACAGAGTGCACCTCCAGGCCTGGCCACCTTTCCGTTCTAGAAGAGGATGTGTTTTCACAATACACGGATTAGCTGGGCTGTAAAGTCCCCAGTGACTAATCTGCCCAACTCTGAGGCACTGGAACAGGAGTCCTTTGCAGGCAGCCCGGTCTCCCGCTCTCAGCCTGGGAACCCCCCAGGCGAACTCCGGGGTGCACACGGCCCTTAGGTCTCCAGACCCCACCCCTCCTGCGCCCAAGGGCGCCCAAGACGTCATGCCTGGGGAGCACTTCTCTTCATTCCATTTTCTCAAGTCCCCAAGTTCTGACTTGCTAGAGGCCACGGCACCGAGGCCACCTTCCGAAAGGGGACCTCGGGTCAGGAAAAGCTGCAGGACGTGCAAACCGACCTACCATCCAAGGCAGCGTAAGAGGACGAGGACGCGGGCCGCGGAGCGCACGCCCGGGCCGGGCCCAGCTCCCACGCGCCGCTGGCCGCCGGCGGCCGCGCACCCTGTCGCCGCGATCCAACTGCCACGGGAAACCGCTGGTTCGTGAGCCGATAAAACGCGCCCGTTCCGCGGCCGAGGGACGT